TGCAATTTTAGTTTTAAAACAGACAAAACCCACCAAGAACTCAGAAATGTAAACTATTTGAAGTGGAAGCCAGCAGTAATCTAATTGATATAAACATGTGATTGAAGATGATAATACAGCTACTGAAACTTCTGATTTTAGACAGTAAGAAAGCAGATGGAAAACAAAATAATAGTCAAATTTAAAACTAAGATTTTACTGTAGAGATAAATAACTGGTTGGTGTTTGGAAAGTAAGTTTTTAAGTGCAACTTGAGCATCTGCAAAAGGGAACTTGTGTAAGGGTATAGATTTAGTGTTACCAAAAAGTATCTTTGAGGAAAATCTGCCTTCTTTTGCCACTACACACAAAAATATCTATGAGGCTGTTGGGTAATGCTAAATTATATTAATCTATGTGAGGCTTAAAAAAGTAGGTCTCACTGTGATAGAGCTAACTGTGGAAAGCCTAAATCACTTAATTTTCTCTTGCAATTTTACCACATCAATAATTTCTTTTTAATGTGATGATAGCTAAGATGGACAAGTAGTGCCTACAGTTCCTCCTAGTGTTCTACTAAACTGCTACTTATTGAACAGCTTTTTAATGTTATACTGATTTTTTTTATCTATACTGTATAATTGAGGCTTATGAAAAAGTTTAAAATTTAATTATAACTTTATAGTACAATAATCCTTAATGGGATACCATTTCCATAGTTCCACATCCCAGATATATTTTCCAATAAGAATAGTGTTCCCTTATCCTAAGTGCATGAGCTGACTTGAAAGCTGGTGATTTAAAGCACCTTGTTTTCAGCTGGAAACCATTTCAGTGCAATCAGCTTCAGATAATCCCTGGCAGGTGCTATAACGAGCCCAAGGTTTGGTAGCCCAGGTGCAGTTAATATAACTAATGTTGCTTTGGCCTGATGTGCAAGGCTGGGGTAGCAACTGCACCAGCAGAGACAGTCCCAAGGAACTTGTGCTGCTGCAGTCTAAATGAGTAACAAATGTGGAAATCCTTACACTAAAGATTTGGGTGTCTTACAAACTGACATAACTTCCAATGCACATTAAATTGTTTCAGAAGTTACAGCACTGGAAGTGCAGCACTTGAAATTACTTTTTAGGTTTTATAAACGACAGAGAAGCTGTTATTCATCTTTATTTTTTCTTTTCTATCCTCCTCCTGAACTATAAAAGAATGTAGAATAAAGATCAAAATTGCCATTAGCATCCTTATCCTATATTTGTACAAAAATTACCATTACCAGAATGTTCTGGGGAGCATATTTAAAGGAAAAGAAAATTAAAAATCCCAGTTTTGTAACAGTGTACTCCCAAAGTACAACTCTGCTTGATCTGTCCATTGGAGATTGATTTGAGCACATGATGTTTGTTTCAGCTTGGCTGCTGCTAGTGGGGAGTGGAAGTTGCTGAGTAAAACATTGTCATAATATGACATAATAGAGTGTGATTATTTCAGTTTTTCTTCTCTAGTTTATTTCCAGTTATAGTCAAAGCTGACAATATTGACATTAGTGATGAATACTTACAAATCCATGCAGATGTTCAGGATTGCCTATTACAAACAAATAAGCATTCAGAAGATGTCATTATTTGTCCGTATGTGGCCACACTGCAACTGCTTTATAATTAACTGCTTTACAATGAAGTCTGCAGGGGGATTTAATTTTACAAGAGGTGCCATGGAAATGCAAATCATCACTGAAATACTAGACCAATTTTAATGTAATTTTGTGGCAAAATTGACAGGGAAAACATCTATTAAATAAAAGTGTCAGTGTGACTTTTGTTGTCTATTAAAGATCTCTTTCAATAAACCAGCCTGAAGAGCCCTTGTGTTTATCTAACCTGTGCCTGTAACTGCCTTCTCTTGGTAAATCACTGCAACAAAATTTGTTATTTTGATCCTTACTGCTGGGAGATGTGGAAGCCTGCTGGTTTGATGCATGATGCATCAAAATTTTTACCTGGGCTGCTTGCTCAGCTTTCTGGATGTAAATATTGTTGGACTTCTTCAGAGGCTTTTCTTCTGATTCTACCGCCTTTTGTTCCTGTGATCTGTGTCGGTTCAGAGACCTCAGCTGGGCATTATGTTGCAGGAATGGCAAATCAGTGTGATTTTCAGGCACTCCTAAGGCTTTTGTCATTTGTTTTCAAGCTTTTTGTTGTTCTACCACTTGCAATTAATGCTTTTCTAATTATAGCTGTGATTGCCTTATTTTCTGACTTAATGCTTGTTTGAAGTTCTCCTAATCTGTTCTTGTTTAAGTTCTTTGTTTCAAAAAATTGTAGCAATGCATTTGCCTGGAACATGATGCATTCCTTGTGCATAGTTCAGTTTCCAGGACAAATGATTCCCAGCAGTATCTTCTTGGTCTTTGTTACTCAGAATTCCTGCAAATCAAATGTCATCTGGAGGCTTTGTTCAGTATTGATAAATTGTTTTCTGCCAGGTAACTGATTAGTTTTACTAGATCTGAATAGAAAATTAACAATCATTTGTCTACACTGGACCCATCCTTGTGTCAGCAGGCAGTGGACAGGTAAAAAGCTGCTCCTGGCTGTGTCTGTCCGTGCTGAGTTTCTATGTGGCACAAGCAGAAGTCTATTCAACTGCCTCATTTACCTGCTCTGCTCAGCAGTCTGGTCACAGCCCAATGTCTTCCTGAAGTGCAAACCAGTTAAATGTTTTTGTCTGCCTGTGAACATTATGCCTCCAAATTTAAGAGTGCTCCTGACCTTAACTACCTTCAGTTAAGACAATAAAGGCTGTTTTTTTCTGTTCCCTCTGAATCAACACTGGCAACCCACTCTCCATCTGACCTTGAGGTTAATTACCTTAATAATTCCTAAGGTTAATTATTACCTAGTATTTCCAGTCTAGTTAATAGCTGCAGAATGGAGTGGAACAATTACTAGTATCACTTGGTTGATTTACCTTACAGTAAAAAAAAAAAAGAAAATAGTTGTGAAAAGGAAAAAGGCTGAACCTGCAAGGATGCAGCCTCAGAGATGAGGGCAGGGGAAGAAAAGCCTCTTCACACTTAGTTTGCATCATGTGCACTCAGCCGTGTGTATCAGAGAGAACATTTTTCTCCTCAAATAAAAGAGCACTGTTCCAAAAGTCCAAGATAATTAAATAGTAATGTGTAGACCAAGGGATGACACTGAAATATAACAGAAATGCACTCCAACAACTTTACTTAGTAAACAGGCTGCTACTGTCCTTTGTAAATTGTATCTGTAGAATGTTACTGTACATTTTATTTAGCAACTTAACTGTTTTTGTACAAGTGTCTTTTGAATTACTTAGAATCTGGCAAGAGTGGTAGAACCTACGCTATTTTAACCCGTGCTTAACAGCCATGAACTGAATTAACATTTTTCTTCTTAAAACAACATTCTTCGCGGGGGTTGGGAAATAGCTGAATAATGAACCTTCATTGCAATAGGTCTGTGCAAGTGTGCAACTCCTATGTAGGGGCAACCAATTGCATATCAGATTATATTTCAAAGATTTGTTGGACTAAATGTAAGCTTCTATTTGGTGGCTTTTTTTGGGGGGGGGAGGGGGGGCTGCGGTTTTCTGGTTTTGTGTAATGTTGTTTCTCAGTAACTCCTTTAATTCAGTTTGCAAAGACTTGTGGTAGCACTCACTCTGTGCCTCAGAAGGAAATGCCTTTACTGAGGAAATTCAAAGATTTCCTTTTTTTTTTTTCCCTCTCTCTTGGTGGTTTGGGGTTTTTTTTGCTGTTGTTGTTTTCCCCTTCTCCTCCTGCCATTTGATGCAAAAGACCTTGTAATCCTGATTTATGAGCTGCTATAATTGGAAATATATTCCTTTGCCAATGGTCTGTTATACCCTGATAATAGTATGAGGAACAGGAATCAAGTCATTCCAAGCCAGTGAACTCAGATTTCAGGGAACCCCCTGTAATCCAAAGATGATAGTGTGAGCCAGTCTTCTCTGCTTGAGTATATCTGAATTGTTGCAGAATGCAGTTTAGTATTTTGTTACAGCAGAGAAAATCAGCATATAAAAATACTTCCATGTGTTTTGCTTTAGTTACTGTCTAGTGTCTGCTTATTTTTTTCTCTGTATATCAACTATATGTGTGCTGTGATCTCACTTTACAGTCAAATCACCATCAGGTCAAGGGACTCTTTATTGTATACATTCTGCTTTCTTTTATCAACCAACTGCCTAAGTAGAGAGTGGCACAGTATTTGGAAATAAACAGGTAAATGTGGGGAAAAAAATACGTTTTTCTACCCTTATCTTCAAGTCTGGCAAAAATAAGACAATTATTAATTATCAAACTTTTTTAAAAAATCAACTTCAGTATTTTAACATTCAAAACCTACAAGAGAAACAAAGCTGTTTGTAACAGTAATCAGATTTTCTTAGACTGATGCTTTTATTTGCCTTTTGGAAAAAGTGGACTGGAGTTGAAAGTAGACTGAAGTAATGTTAAAAATGCATTAGTTGATGATTTTCAACCTGATCATCTCTGCAAAAACTGTTGATTTAGCTCATGGTCTCCTGTCATTCATCAGATATAAATAAATAAATTTTCCATGTTGAGGCCTAAATAGATCATAATAAAGTGCTTTCCTCCATTATTTTCCACAACTTGTTTGAATTTGATATTGACAAAGCAAACCATTCACTGAAACAGTCCTTACTAAACAGCTCATATTGAGTCAGAGGATAAGAGAGTGTGAAATTTGGATCAGCCAAAACCAGCACATCCTGCTGAGTGTAAAGTTACCCTTATGCAAATTACGAGGATAAGCTTCCATAACTTGATGTCAAGAATAACTTCCACAGAGCTAATATATTCTAGGATATAGACAATACTATATACAGAAGAAATGGATGATGGAGCTATCTAACTTTGACCCACTATGGGCAAGTGAATCAAAGAGCTCTTTTAATTATTTCTTTTCATGTTTTGCTGTTCTGACTATTTTTCCCCTCCCTTTCTCCAGGAGAAATACATTCCAAGGTGATGGAGGTAACTTTGCAAAAGCACGATGGGCCAGGGCTATTCAGAAGGTAAGAAGAGTTCTTAAAACTACTGATGTGTTACTGTAATTCAAAAAATTTCCTAGGTTTGAAGAAGAATTTGGTATAGGGTTTCTAGTTCATATAAACTGCTACTTAGTTACAGCAGGACCTGAGGATGTGACTGCTGAGTTTCTGATTGTAGAGACAGTTCCTTCCATTGGTTCTTAAATCCATGTTGTTCCCTTACCTCAGGATTTTTGACTTTTGAAACAGAAAGAGGACAAGATTCTGAAACTTTAGATGCATTAGGAGTGATTGTAGATTGGCCATCTTATCTATATTGAGTGTTAATCCAGAATTGATAATCTCAGACATCTTTTTTTGAATAATTTTTGATATTGAGAAACATCAGTACTTCAATAATATTTAATAAAAATTGTTTTAATAATATTTTTTCCTAGAAAAAAAAAATCTTTTAAGTTCTACTGATGATACTACTGCCTAAATAGGTGGTTTTTTTTTTTTTAATTAGATGTGATAATAAAGAGAAATTATTACTATTTCTTCATCTGTTTATGTGGTCAATAACAGTGCCAAGTATTTTCTATCTCACTGTTGTTCTTAAACTGTACAAACCACGACCTCACCACAATGGTTGGGAATTCAGATGTCATCAGTTTTTTGACCAGTCTTCCAGCCTGCAAAACTATTGTTGATAACTTTGAGAAACACTGCAGTTATGTCCTTAGTGTGTCCAGTGACCTACCAAAAAACTAAAGAGTCATGGACTTATCTTCCTGTTTCATTTGTGTGTAGGCCTTTTGGAAATACTGCTTATTCTCAGGTAGTGTGCTGTAAAATGTCACTTCTATGGTTTCATGGTAAAGCCAAACCTGTTTATAGTAAAAATGAGTCAAACTCCATCCAAGATGCACCTTCATCAGTTTATTTTGAGCTGGTTTTTTTTCCTGTTCTTTCGGGAGGCAAGTCCTATTTATTTTTTACTGAATTCTCTTGCCTTTGTGATAATCCATAGACTGTGCCTGTGTGAAAAGCACGGGGAAAATTTTGTTTATACTGAGGTGTCATGGGAAAAATACTTATCTGATTCACATGATCTCAGTTTGTGCATCTTACTGGGTCTGTCACTGGTTTGATCTCTTCTTTCTTTTATGCCAAATGTTATCTCACTGTAGGAGGAAGACAGAACAAAAAGTCCTGGTCTAACTGACATCAAACACAAGAGTTGGATATGTTAAATAATCCAGTTTTGTTTTGTAGAGAGAGTTTGCAGTAGTTTTAAGATGCTCATTCAAAAATTCTTCTGGGAAGAACCATCCTTTAGTGTGTGTTTAGTTGCCCACTCAGTGGGATACATTCATTTCTGAGTTTAAAACCAAATTACTTATGTCATATGGTCAGCAACTTTATGACTTGATGAGTCAGCTGCATTTTGTTCAAATGTTAAAAGAAGTATTTGAATAAAGGGATATTATTATTGCACTTCCCACTACAGTTCTTCAAAGTAATTTTGAGGTCAGCATTTAGAAGATGGTTAAGTAAGCAAGTTAATATGTATGAGCTGGAATTTTGGTTTGTCACTGTGCCATTGAAGTTTTTCTTTAGCAAAGTTGTCAAAATATCTCAGTGCACTGAAATAAGAGCAGATTGCTCAGCAGTTAGTGTAGCATCAGTTTGGGGCTGCATGATGGTGGCAAAGTTATTGTAAGTCTTTAAAGAATTTGAAGATTAGGTGGGATGGGATGTGTAAATATTTACCTCACTTAGAACTCTTTGAAGAGGAAAATTTCTATAAATACTTAAAGGGCCATTTAAATCTCAAGTTACTGTTTCATTATAAGCCATGTATTAAACTTGGTTCTTCATATGCTTCTAGTTGTAAATTTAGTAGAAATCTGGGACATTGGAGACTATGAAAACACAGTTCTTGAAGGACTGAGTTGTCTTGCAGAGATAGAAGTAGACCTCAGAGAGGAGAAAACCTTAACCTAAAAAGTATTTAAATCATTCTAATGCTATATAACTAAAGATTGTGTTAAGATTTTTCCATCCCAATTGGAAAAAGGAATAAGAGGAAATGGACAACTTTCGTATTTTCAGTTGCGTAGTTTGTGCTCTTGTCATGATTCCTGCACAAAGCATGTGTCTAGTGTTGAATATTGGTTAGAATTTCATTCTAATGCTATTCCTAATTAATGACTTTTTAAAGTGAAAAGTATGGATGCGTATATAATACAAGGTTACATGCTAGCATTTTACTCAGGTAAGCTCTTGATTTTCCTGGGCCTATGCACACATTAAGAGATATTGCACAAAGCAAAACAAAATGTAGGGTCTGATCACCTGTTACATCAGATTTGTAGTTTGCTTAAATGTAAAGAATTTCTTTTTCTTTCTTTTAAACTACAGATTAATTTGAATGAGATTTTTTTTTCTCCTTATAAAATTATTTTGCCTGAAATACACTTAACATCTTGTGGATTGTCTTGGTCACTTTGCTTTGTCTTTTCTTTCTGAAGATAAACTGTTTTTCAGAAACAGTACACTGGTATCATCTCATCACTGATATAACACAATTGATGTGACACTTAGTGCCTTTGTTTGCTCAGAAAATCTGAGAGGCATGAAGGATGAACCCCTGTCAATGCCTATCAAAATAAGCTTCACACTTGCAAGTATTATTAGGGATAAAAAGGGCCATCAATTAAAAAAAAACTGTGCAGCACAATAAGATCAGAAAAATAAACAATCCTGATGTATTTTCCAGAAGGTACAATATGCACAGAGCCTCACAATGGAGGCAAACAAACACATAAAGCAAAGTAAGTAATTTTCCACTGAAAGTAATCTGTGTATGTAGGCAACTACTGTAAGACACTACTCCCACAAGAAGGGAACTTTCTCTATCCATAGAGAGCTGGAAAAAGAAATAACAGCCTTTAGTAACCATGAGGGAGGTTTTTAGTCTTTGGAGCAGACTGTAGGCAGGGAATCAATCACTGGAGGCCTTTAAGAACAGAGAAGTAACAGTAAATTTCTGGGAGGTTTTAGCTGTTCTTGGAAGTGTAGGGAAGTGGGTTTAGCTTGAACAGAGGAGGGGAAATGTAATTTGCTGAGGTTGATGGCCTTCAGGTATTTCCTCACCGGTGGAACAAACATGAATTGTTACTGCAATAGAAAATATTCAGATGGCTGAAGTTCCAGTAAGAATATTTGGAATGTATGCTTTTAATGATAATCTATGGAAATAGGAAACTGAATTAGGCTGTTCTGATCAAATATGAGATGACAGCCCAATGGTTCACCAGAGGCATTGTAGCTGATGAATATTTATTTGAACATTGACTAGATAGGAAAAGTGCCAAACTGTTTTGGCCAGTGTGTCTTTCCAGATAATAAATTGCCTTGATGCCTACTTGACATAGTTAAAAGTTTTTGCAGTCATGTAAGATCTAGCAATAGTAAGATAAAAGCATTAGGGAAATCCTTCCCATATTTGAGAGGGGAGAGGAATTAAGCATTTGAGGGAAAACTTAATATCAGGAATTAATCACTTCTAAAAAGACACTGGGGGGGTCCTCTAATTGCACTTCTGCATATTGATTAAAAACAAAAATCCAAACCATAATTCTTTTACAATAACCCAGTCCTATTATCTGGCTTGCAGTTTCATGTTCACTGTACTATCAGGAACAGTGAACAGGTTTTGTTTGGTTGCCTTAGTTCTCTAACAGCTTAGAAATGAGTGCTATGGAGTCCTGGCAATTATTATGAAAAGATTCACTTAAAGGGTTTTTTTCTTTTAACTCCATGTCAACCATGAGTACAATCCAAGTGGATTTTCCCCTTTCCTCCCTCCTACCTCAGTTGTGTCTGTCACTTTGATTATATCTGTAGCTACTAATCCTAAGTGGAATAGAGACTGTTTTGCTGCTGAAATATATTCAAGTAAATAAATGTCACATCTCTGAGATGGATATGCTTTTTATAAAATACAAAGCATACTAATTGATTCCTGAGGTTGACATTAAGTGGGAGGCTACACTTGTAAGTTCCCCTTTCTATGATTCCGCAGCTATTGACAATTGTGAGTATTGGAGACAAAAGACAGTGAAGTAGTGGCACTATATTAACCAGGTTTATAGCCTGGAGGTCAACAGTGACAGTGGTACAGATTTGCCTCAACAAATATTCTCTAGATGCCTTATTCCTAACTTTGCAAAATGAGCATAATACATCCATAGACCACAAATTGTGCCATTAATTCAAAAAATATTGGTGTGTTTCAATATTAAAAAAATATTATGTAGAATTAAATATTAATTATGTAGAATTAAATATTCATTGTGGATTCTTCTAATGCTGTTCTTTGTGATTTGTGGTGAATTACACGATGGATGCAGTGGTGATGCTCAGGATGAGAAAGCTCACTAATAGAGAAGTTATCAGGTGCCTGATTTTGTCAGCACTATTGATTTACTGTCTTATTCAGAAACAAAACTTGATAGACTAATACTGAGGCAGGTATTGCACAGTGACAGCAATGGGAATTTAGGGCTGGGTAAGCAGAAATCAATCTTATTTTAGGAGCCATGGGCTATGAGATTAACACAAAACTTCCCTTTAAAATATTCCAGTAGGCCCAAAGAAATTGTGGGGGTTTTTTTCAATCAATCTTTCAGTTGAACAATTTTTTAACCCTCCATTCCAAGAAATGTTTTGTATGCAAGTGTGTCTTGAAGTGGAAATAAACAATTATTTCCTTTTCTTGAAGTATGAATAATAGATATTTTGTATCCTGATGCAATTAAAAAGTTGCGTTCAAGTGACAATCAGCATATTGATTGAGCTAAATGGCTGCAAACAAACTGCTTTTCTTAGTCTTGTGAATTTATTTCGAAGATGAAATATTTAAACAAAAAATCGACAAACTGACAATTCGAAAACAAAGAAATGTTGAGGTGCACTTTCTTTTCAATTAAATGGATTTAGGATCTGTGCAGGTTTGCCAGCTTGAAGATATTTTG